GTGAAAGCTGTATGATTCAAAAGTTACTGATACAAAAAAGGATTCAATAAAAAAGATGTTCACTGATGAATATTTTAAAAGCCAGAATTAAGTCACACCTAACACATAGACCCATCTCAAAACTCATTACTGGACATTCCATTGCACTCCAGAGAGAAGAAATCAAGTTCCATGCACCAGAACGCTGACACAAGCTTCCCTAACCAGGAAACCTTGACAAGCCAATCGTCCAACCCCACCCACTGGGTGAAACCTCCACAATAAAAAGGAACCACAGACCACCAGAACACAGAAAGCCCACTCCAGACACAGCAATCTAAACAAGATGAAAAGGCAGAGAAATACCCAACAGGTAAAGGAACATGAAAAATGCCCACCAAGTCAAACAAAAGAGGAGGAGATAAGGAATCTATCTGAAAAAGAATTTAGAATAATGATAATAAAAATGATCCAAAATCTTGAAAACAAAATGGAGTTACAGATAAATAGCCTGGAGACAAAGATTGAGAAGATGCAAGAAATATTTAATAAGGACCTAGAAGAAATAAAAAAAGTCAATTAAAAATAAACACCAGGACAGTATACTAACACATATATATGGAATTTAGAAAGATGGTAATGATAACCCTATATGCAAAACAGAAAAAGAGACACAGATGTACAGAACAGACTTTTGGACTCTGTGGGAGAAGGCGAGGGTAGGATGTTTCAAGAGAACGGTATCAAAACATGTATATTATCTAGGGTGAAACAGATCACCAGCCCAGGTTGGATGCATGAGACAAGTGCTCGGGCCTGGTGCACTGGGAAGACCCAGAGGGATCGGGTAGAGAGAGAGGTGGGAGGGGGGATCGGGATGGGGAATACATGTAAATCCATGGCTGATTCATGTCAATGTATGACAAAAACCACTACAATATTGTAAAGTAATTAGCCTCCAACTTATAAAAATAAATGGAAAAGAAAAGCCAGAATTAAACAAATCCATATAGAAAATTTTTGCAATTAACTATTCTGATAGACATGTAGATAAATCATATTAATGGCCTTTTGCTAAGTTCTTTTTTCTACCTGTGGTGGATAAATTATTTATCATTTGGGCAAAACTGTGATGGCTATGTAATGGGTCACTTGGCTAAGCTGAAAACTGTATTACCCAGAATTCCCCCTTTTGTAAGTTTCCAATTAGAGCAAACCAGGAGAAGACTCTTTCAAGACTGGAAAGAACTAGGGAACATAAGGCAGCTATTTTGTCACTGACTTATATAGCTGATTGGCTGATTCATCCCAAAGGTAAAAGGCAGGAAGTTAACCTGCCATTCTCTACTTTTTCTGGATTCACCTTCAGTTTTTTCTGGTTTTTGGCCAGGTGTATATTTAGCTCTATAATCCCTTCTGCAGGATACCATTTTCACCAACATCAGAGACAACAAGAATGGACATGAGTTTCAGTTCATCTTCCAGGGGTTTCAGCACATTCTCACCGGGTTCCCCCTCAGACTTGTGATTTTCCCTTCCTAACTGCCTATGAACTTCAAGCTCCAGTAACAGATGTGGAGACAGATACAGTTTTAAAAAGACTGCTTAACCAGTCTGATTATGTAAGCCAATTACCTGTGATAAATATGTATATGTATACATAGGTATGTATGTGCATATAAATGTATCTAATTTACACTGTCTCTCTTCTCTAGAAGCTCTGAGGGAAAAGAATTTTGTACCTAGAATTTTATAAAAAGACAAATTTTTAATCAAGTTAAAGGGAGAAATGAAATGATTTCAAGACATATTAAGAATTCAGAAAGTTTCCCTCCCATGCACTCTTTGAGGAAATTTATTGAGTACATTCTATAAAAGCAGATATCCAAGACAGAACGTATATAAAATCCAAGAAACAGGCCAGATACAGGACAGGACAGAAACAAACAGGACAGAAACAGGACCACAAGAGCAAATCGAAGAAATGTGAGGAAAGATAGCTGGGCAATAAGCCTGAAAAATAACTGGTTCAAAATGGATGAGGGAAGTCTTAAAATTTTAAGAATACTTAAAAAAAAAAGTAGACTTACTGCAACAAATAATAAGATGTATATGGTGAACAATCTTAGGATAAATTCTTAGAGGATAAATTCTTATCCTCTTCTTCTCATCAAGGAAAAAAAGAGGATAACTCTTATCTTCCTCTTCTCATTATCTACAAACTACAGGGGTGCAGAATGGGGAGAGCTGTACAAGCAAGTCATGATGAAAAATAATACTCAGAGTAGTTAATTTTACATTAGAAAATGGTACATACAGGAGACAAATATTATGCTTTTCAACTGCTTTAAACTTTTTGTACATCCTTTTTATGCTTGGAGAGTTTTTTGTCTCTGAATCTGTATCCCCAAAGCAGAAATCCCCAACTCACTTCTCCAGCTTCCCTTTCAGCCAGGTATGTGATGCAAGCTCTGCCATACAGATACAGCCTTTTAAGACCTGAAAATAGATAATGTGCAGAAGCAGTCAAAAGCTCCTAATAAGGGATTGGCAGCGATGTCCAGTCTTCACCAGTCTTCAGTGAGAGAAGAGACCAGAAGTTTACACACCAAGAGCTGAGAATACAGAGACACTCTGCTGACTGTGTTCCTATGTGAGAGCAGGAAGGCTCCAGTTGATATCACATTGTGTTCAATGTGATAGCAGGATTGCCTCCGTGAAATAATTTGCCCATGCTGCTCCTTACAATGCCTCCAAATCTGACTGTTCAGTCCTGACATATAGTCTGATCTGAAAATGACATTATCTTCTGTTTGAACTACCTATAACAGGTTGTGCCATTTGAAATTAAGAAAATTCACTAATGTAGTAATTGGTACCAACAGTTTCAGAAGAAAGCAGAACGTGAAGGAAATGAGAATTAACACTTGGTCATGCAAGTCTGGCAACCCATAATAAGACTTCTAGACCTTGTAATTGCTACCTATGAACAGTAAAAAAGGAACAAGTCTCTTCCTCTCTATACTGGAGAGATTAAAGAAACACACTGACAAACAGACTGATTAGAAACAAACTTCCGAATTTCTTTCTGTCACAGTGCTTAAGTAACTAAAAACAAAAACAAAATCATATTTTTTTTGAAAACTGCTAAATTACATCAATTTAATTTGAAATATCACCTGGGATCTTATGGGAAATCAGAACAAGGGTTGGAAGAACGGCATCCTCGGTGTTAAAATGGAGACATGCAGGTGTATTGGGATTACTCAGAGAACCCCAAACTTCACACTCCTGCCATTCTGACAAGCAGCAACTCCTTTCCTGCTTGACACAATTGTTCACTGATTCTTGGCTTCTTTCTCCTTTTTTTTTTTCTGGAACCTTAGGCTATGGTTAACAAAACTACCTTATCAGGAGCTCACTCTATCAATCAAATCTTTACAAAAAGATCTCAAATCTGAGGATTTCAAATATGATACAGGCTCTGATTTCTCATGTAATGAGTTTGGAAGTTGCCACTGCATTATAAGAAGCAAAAAGATGAACACTGAAAATTCAAAAATTCTTCTTAGAGCCATAAGAGAAGTGAGGTCACCAGGCAAACTGCTGCTCTCAAAACTGGAGAGACTAACAAGAACATACAGAGAATCACAACTCAGGTGAGTAGAACTCATGAGCTGAAACCTCTCTGGGAACCAGTTTCTGACAGGAAAATAACTGTAGCTGACAAACTGCGAGAGACTCAGAGTGGACAAGTCTTATAGTTTGGAAGTCCAGGAGGGCTCAGTATTGGGGGGGGGTCCACATTTTTGCAAGTTTTACCTCCAGGTCCTTAACCAGGATCTCACAGAATGTCTCAGAAGAAACTCTCCTCACGCTGTTCATGGGAGTATAAGTTGGCACAGCCACTATGGAGAACAGTATGGAGGTTGCTTAAAAACTAAAATTAAGAGCTGCCCTGTGATCCTTCAAGAATGTACCTGGAGGAAACTGTAATTTGAAGAGATACATGCACCTCAGAGTTCACTGCAGCACTATTTACAACAGCCAGGATGTGGAAACAACCTAAATGACCATCGAGAGGAGAATCAAGTAGATGTGGTATATTTACAGAATGGAAGATTACCCAGCCATTAAATGGAAGGAAATAATGCCATTTGCAGCATGGATGAACCTAGAGATTGTCATATTAAGTGAAGTAAGCCAAAGACAAATACCATGATATCTTTTCCATGTGGAATATTAAAAAACGTGATAAAAGTGAACTTCTATACAAAACAGAAATAGACCACAGATACAGAAAACAAACTTATAGTTACAAAAGAGAGAAGAGGGGATGAATAAATTAGGAGTTTGGGATTAATATATACACACTACTATATATAAAATAGATAACAAACAAGGGCCTACTACAGAGCATAGGGAACCATACTCAATATTCTGAAATAAACAATAAGGGAAAAGAATATGAAAACTGAATCACTTTGCTATACATCTAAAACCACCACAGCATTGTAAATAAACTATACTTCAATAAAAAAATTGATTTTAAAAAACCCAGAAAGTAAAAAAAAAAAATGAATACAGCAAACTCTTCACTTTCTCTACTTTTCTGATTCACGTTAAAAAAGGCAGGTTAATCAAATCTTTCACAGATCATAAGTGGTATAAAAATCAAGCTAATATTTATACCATTTTAGTTAGTACTTTTTAAAAATTGTTTTAAGATTTAATAACATTCTTTCCCTTTGAGAAACATCTGCCATCCTAGAACTGATATTTGACTGTTATTTTTTGCTTTAAAAAGTATGTTAATAGAAACTTTAGTATGCAACATAAATGATAACCTCACCAACCTTATCAACACTTGTACATGAATATGAAGATAGGATTAAAACAAAAAAGAAGACAGGATAACTGGTTGTTGTTCAGTTGTTAAGTCATGTCTGACTGCGACTCCATGAACTGCAGCACGCCAGGCTTCCCTATCCTTCACCATCTCCCGCAGTTTGCTCACACTCATGTCCATTGAGTCGGTGATGCCATCCAACCATCGCATCCTCTGTCCTCCCCTTCTCTTGCACCCAATCTTCCCCAGCATCAGGATCTTTTCCAATGAGCTGGCTCTTCACATCAGGTGGCCACAGTATAGGAGCTTCAGCTTCAACATCAGTCCTTCCAATGAATATTCAGGGTTGATTTCCTTTAAGACTGACAGTTTGATCTTGCAGTCCAAGGGACTCTCAAGAGTCTTCTCCAACACCACAGTTCAAAAGGATCAATTCTTTGGTGTTCAGCCTTCTTTATGGTCCAACTCTCACATCCATACACGGCTACAGAAAAACCATAGCTTTGACTAGATGGACCTTTGTTGGCAAAGTGATGTCTGTGCATTTTAATACACTGTCTAGGTTTGTCATAGCTATTCTTCCAAGGAGCAAGCATCATTTAATTTTGTGGCTACAGTCACCATCTGCATTGATGTTGCAGCCCAAGAAAATGAAATCTGACCGTTTCCACATTTTAAGGATAAACATACCATTTAACGAGAGTTAAGTGTGTAGGTGATAGTCACTCAGTCATGTCTGATTCTTTGGGACCCCGTGGACTGTATCCTGTCAGGCTCCTCTGTCCATGGAATTCTCCAGGCAAGAATACTGAAGTGTACATTGCCATGCCCTTCTCCAGGCGATTTTCCTGACCCAGGGATTGAACTCAGTTCTCCTGCATTGCAGGCAAATTCTTTACTATCTGAGCTGCCAGGGAAGCCTGTTATTTAATCTACTAGATATCTTATAAAAACTCCTGAAGCATGGTAGGGAAAGCTCCTGAGCACAATGTGATCCAACTTTTAGTTTAAAATTATCTGGTCTGTAAAATGTTTTAACTAAATAAAATACAGCTTGGGATTTCTAATCTTTCATTCTGTATTTTTCTCTTAGTATAAAGTGAAAGATTTGGAATTATCCTATATAGCCAAACAGCTGTTTCATCTTCAAGTAAGCTCAGCTTTCCTAAGCTTATTTATAAGATCAAGTGTCTTCAATTTACAGCACCCAGTCTTTTCCTAAACATCAAAGAGTATAAACATTCCTTGTATTCACAGGACATACAAGAACAGTTGCCACGTGGCTAAATTCTTCCAACCTAAATAGGTCCATTTTAAAACATTTAAATGAATTTTACCACTGGTTTGATACGGTATGATACTGTCTTCATCTTGAAATAAGTTTCTTCACGTCACACCTTCCAGGCAATACTTAACACATATGCATGGAATTAATGGGCTGTTATTTTCCCATTGTCTAAAGTGATATAGAATCCAAATTCCTACAAGTCAACATCTTCTCAATATTACAGATTAATCTAATATCACTCATGAATTACAACACAATGCCATCATTTATCATTTAGAATTCACTGCAGGGAATAGATGTCACTCAAGGTATTTAAAAAGGAAGGGGTTTAATGAAAATAATCAAACTAACATTCAAAGAACTGAATGAGTTGGATCTAAGATCACCAAGAATGACTCCCAGAATAATAAAAATAACAATTAAGGAAATGATTCTACTTACAACAGCATCAGAAACAGTAAAAGACATACAAATAAATTTAACAGAGAAGGAAAGAATTTAAATTTGGCTAGGACATCTTTGAAATGAACTGAATTTCCTGAAAACATCCAGAATGAGTTGCCTGCAGTAAGGCCTAGAGCTTTATTATAAAACATGTCAAAACTCCATTTTCAGACATTTGACCTTATAGGCCAATGGAACTGTATCTTTACATTAGTCTATATATTCTGAATTTCTGCAGACACAAACAAGTGTGCCTTCATACTCCTAATGGGATTCCCTGGTGGTTCAGATGGTAGTCTGCCTCCAATGCTGGAGACCTGGGTTTGATCCCTTGGTTGGGAAGATCCCCTGGAGAAGGAAATGGCAACCCACTCCAGTATTCTTGCCTGGAAAATCCCATGGACGGAGGAGCTTGCCAGGCTACAGTCCATGGGGTCTCAAAAGAGTTGGACACAACGGAGTGACTTCACTTTCATTTTCTTTCTTTTTTCATACTCAGAACATACTAACTTAACTGAATTCAACCCATTAACTTAAAAAAAAAAAGTACTATTAAAAAAACATACACAGTGAATAATCAACTTGACTCAGGGTTTTACTTCCAAATGAGTGGGATATTTTTCCTGCAGCATATAGGGCAGATACTCATAGTAAAATATAGATGCTGGCAAGTTTCTATTTTAAAAGATAGGTTTTACTCATTGTTTCTAGCTCATTTATTTCTGTCCTTGTTTAATTGCTTATAAGTCCTTAGGGTATTATAATATAGATAACAGTTCCACAAAAATGTTTTTGTTATGTAAATTAGAGTATACGTGCAATAAAAAGTTTTATATTAGATCCTAGCACCAAATTCCTTTAACTGCATGAGTCAACTACACTGGCTTTTAGCATCTAAAAAATCTGTACCACATTCAAATCTCTCTCTCACATTATCCAGAAAATAAATTGCAGGAAAAGCCACTGAAGTGGTATTCTCTTGACCTAATTATGAAAAGTGACTTACTATGGCACAGCTGGTACACGTAGCCGCATGTTAAAATGAGCACAGAGAGGAAGTCAACGAGGAGAGAAGAGCTGGAATAGCTTGTATTACAAAGTATCAAGGGAAATCACTTGAAATGATTCATAAAGCTTTCAAAGCAGACAAATGGTCCCATATATGCCATTAGCCATAAGAGCAACTATTTCCACTTCTGACAGCTTGGAGGTACAGGAGGCTGCTCACTGAGGACGTTGGCAATTATTTGTTTGATTCTGTTGTACCTGCATCACAATAAAAGAGAAACCCAAGGTAGTTGCAGTTAGAAGTCAATTTTTTTGCCACTTCATTTTAAATGTGTTATTGGCTAAGGTGTCAGTATTGAATTACACTGCCGCTAGATGTTTCACTGTATTTAGATTCTTGAATTAAAATTCTGCTTCTAAGTCACTACAATTATATACCTCAATTTACTGGCATATTTTGAAATGTTATGACTTGTTAGAAATCTGTCCCCCTATCCTGGGGATCTTCTCAGATCTCACATTTTGTAATTGGGAAAGTGACTTCTCTGATAATTTAACTAGTTGGTAGTAATGAAAGCTAAACAGAGAAGTGTAGCTTATAGTTGATTACACCCAGGCCATAATTAATTGTCCATGAGAGAATTATTTTCTATAATGTTTATTTAACATGTACCATACTCCCTTGTATGTTTAAATATTCTTTTTGTTATCATATTCTATCTTCCCAGTCTGTGCTTAGGGGCCATTGGTACTATTTTCCAGTGTTCCACCATAGCAACTAACATTACATGTAGTCATAAACTACTAGGGCTGACAGGATCCTCTCATTCAACACCTTCACATCAAAGATGAAGAAACAGATCTACAAGTTTGAATGACTTTCTAGAGGTCACAGAATTAATTTCAAATTTAGAGTGAAAACACAGATTTCCAGTATTCTCTCTACTATGTTGTACAATCTCTGAAGCCAGGATGTCATTCTCATGTATTCATGACAATGGTCCTTGTATGGAGGAGGTTCTCCCTGACAGAGGACAAGTGATCCATGATGACTCTGACACTGTGATGCTGGCTTCTTTTGTGAAGACACTGCTACTAACTCACTGCAAGAAGAGCTTGCAATTCAGCCACATTTTTGGTAGGGGCAATTGATTATCAATAAGCTAAACATATTCTTAACTGACTCCTCGGGTTTATGGTCAAGGACTAAAGTTGAAACTTGGCTACTTTAGCATCATTTTCTCAATAAAACACTTGGCAAGAATCTACCACAAAAATCTAGAAAGAGAAGTCAATTTCAGCAAGAATTTTAGAACAAGGAAGGAAAGGTCTGTTTTGGCTGCAATTTGCAAACCTCTTACCAGCCAATATACCAAGACTGAAAGAAAGCACAAACGTGTCAGTTCCATTAAGCTGATGAGGCAGAAATTCAAATAATATGAACCACCCTAGACTTAAGCTAAGTGACTGAAAACAAATTCAATTTAAATTTTTAACCCAGAAGATAATTCTTATTTCATCTGAGGGCCAAGCAACATTTATTCAGACAACTCCTACAGAATTTTAGCTATAAACATTGAACACCAGAGTTATAGGGCTTAAAACTTTGGAGATTATTGGAGATTGACTGTCTACATGACAACTGAGAAGCTGTGCTGACCTGCTCTCCCCCATTAAAACTGGTGAAAACTACATTGAGCAAAAAGTTTTTCAAAAAAATCAAACTATGGAAATGGACCTAAAGACAAACAGTAAATGAAGAAACATCAACTAAAGAAAATTTTGAAATTTTGGTTTAAATAAAAGGGCAAGAGTCTGTGGTATTCGAAGAAGAGTATTCACTCACTCAGTTCAGTTCAGTCGCTCAGTCGTGTCCAACTCTTTGCAACCCCATGAATCGCAGCACGCCAGGCCTCCCTGTCCATCACCAACTCCCGGAGTTTACTCAAACTCATGCCCATCAAGTTGGTGATGCCATCCAGCCATTTCATCCTCTGTCATCCCCTTCTCCTCCTGCTCCCAATCCCTCCCAGCATCAGGGTCTTTTCCAATGAGTCAGTACTTGGCATCAGGTGGCCAAAGTATTAGAGCTTCAGCATCAGTCCTTCCAATGAACACCCAGGGCTGATCTCCTTTAGGATGGACTGGTTGGATCTCCTTGCAGTCCAAGGGACTCTCAAGAGTCTTTGCCAACACCACAGTTCAAGAGCATCAATTTTTCAGCGCTCAGCTTTCTTTACAGTCCGACTCTTACATCCATACATGACCACTGGAAAAACCATAGCCTTGACCAGACGGACCTTTGTTGGCCAAGTAATGTCTCTGCTTTTTAATATGCTATCTAGGTTGGTCATCACTTTTCTTCCAAAGAGTAAGCGTCTTTTAATTTCATGGCTGCAGTCACCATCTGCAGTGATTTTGGAGCCCAAAAAAATAAAGTCTGACACTGTTTCACTCACTATACCTCCCAAATGAGCAAGGTGGGGATGCCATTCCAAACTGCTGCAGCTTCAAACACAGGCCTCCTTGTCCCCAGCTCCTGTCACAAGGCAATTTCCCCCTAGGGTAGAGTGAGATGTTTCTCCCCACCCCCGAGGCACCTGTGGTTGAGGCTATCTCCTGGATGAGACACTGAGGGGCTGCTGCCAGGCCCTCACTCGTGGCACAGAGACTTTACTACATGACAGTGTCAGCCGGAGGACGGAGGCTCTTTTTATCTTTGCCCTGGTTCATGAAGCAGTAGTCCCATGTTAGGTGAGGTAAGTACCTGA